ATAATAATAATAATAACAATAATAATAATAATAATAATAATAATAATAGTAATAATAATAATAATAAAAGTGTTTCGCATGTTTTAATTACGGAGCAGCAGAAGAAAAAAAAAAATAATAATAACGATGTTTATTTGATGATGAAAACAAAATGGCCGCTCATATCAGAATTTTTTTAAACGGAAACAAAAAAAAGTGTCAGAAGAAAATTTTTAACTAAAGAAAATTTTAACGTAAAACGTGGAAGTAGAAACATTTAACCTTTTTTTCTTTTTTTTCCTCTACATTTTTCAAAACGAAACTTTTCCCCCATTTTTTTTTTTTTGTGCAAACTTCATAATTTGTTCCTGTCGATTCATTTCCAGTTTTACTGGAGAAAAATTTTTTTTGTAATTAAATTATTAGAGTGAAATTTTTTTTTATTTTTTATAAATTCAATGTTAAGGTTAATTAATAAAAGAAAAGTTTTGATTGGAAATGTTGTTGTTGTTGATGATGATGATAATAATAATACTAATATCGAAACAAAACTCGTTTACAGAGTTGCCTTTTTTTTTTTTCTAAAATTAATTCCACGTTCGTTTTCCACCGGGATAATCTATATTTTTTTTTTTTCGAAGGTAATACAAAAAAAAAAATGAATAAATTTAAAAAAAAATTAAAAAATTACAAAAACTTTATCCGTCGTCGTCATCTTTGTCGTAGTCGTCGTGTCACTAGATTTACTCCCTTCTACTCCCCCCTCTCTCTCTCTCTCTTTTTCTCCTTCTTCTCTTCACTTGTTTTTTTTTTTTTGAACATTTTTCTTTATTGCGGCTTTTTTTTATTTTCAATTTAATTTTTATGCCTTTATTATTATTATTATTATCATGTAGACTTTCTATCTCTCTCTCTCTCTCTCTTCTCCTTCTCTTTCTTTTCTTTCTCTTCTCTCTGTTTTCTCCTCTCTCTCTCTCTTCTCTTTTCTTGTTTTTTTTTTTTTGAACTTTTTTTCTTTTGTGCGGCTTTTTCAATTTCACTTTGATTTTCTGTTCCTCTATTATTATTATTATTATTATGTTGACTCTCTCTCTCTCTCTTTCTCTTTTTCTCTCCTTTCTCTTTTTCTATTCTCTCACTTTTTTTCTCTCTTTCCTCTCTTGTTTCTCTCTTCTTCCATTCTTTTCTCTCTTTCTTCCCTCTGAATTTCACTCTTCCTTCTCTTTCCTTTTTTTCTTTCCCTCATCTCCCTCTATTTTCTCTATTCCTCCCCCACCTCTCATTTTCGTCGTTGTCAATCAATTTTCAATTAAAACTTTTCAAACATTAATAATAATAATAATTATCAATACTCTTGCGACACACGAAAAATTTATGCCTGATTTTAAAAACCTTCGACAACGTTACGCGCGTACGATTACGATGATGACAATAATAATAATAATGATAATAATAAAAATTCTAAAAGTTATAATGCGTCGTTTTTTTTATCGGGGGACCCGGGGAACCCCCGAGGAGGGTGGAAACAAAATCTTTTTATTTAAACTTTTTTCTGTAAACTTTTTTTTTCTCTTCCAAATGTGAAATTAATGACAAAAAAAATTTCAAAACAAACCCGAGGAAAATAAATAAAACGACGACGACGACGACGACGACGACGACGTCGACGACGATGACGTCGACAAATAAATTTCATAGTTCAGGTTTCAATTTCAGGTAAATTTAATATTCTTTAAATTATTTATTTATTTATTTATAAAAAAACGATCGAGCTATAAAAAATTTAATCATTTTATTATTATTACGATCGATTCCCTTAACTCATGTTGTTATTCTATCATCGTCATCATCATTATTATTATTCTCGTACGCAGCGTTTTATTGCGATGAAAAATAAGTAAAAAAAAAATTAAATTAATAAAAAAACAATAAAAGTTATCATTATTATTATTATTATTATTGTTTTACCCATCAACTCATTTTTGTAACTGATACTTATTTTTTTTTCCCTTTCAATAAACTCTAATTGCATAACAAATTCTCAAATAAATTAATAAATAAATTTATTAGAAAAAGAGAGAGAGAGAGAAAGAGAGTGAGTGAGTGAGTGAGAGAGAGAGAGTGAGAGAGAGAGAGAGAGTGAGAGAAAGGGAAGGGAAAAAGAAAATTCCAAAACGTCAAAAGCGAAGAAGAAGAAGACAAAGAGAAAAAAAAAATTACACGATAAATTCTTAACGTCATTTATCGAATTTAAAAAAAAAAATGCAACAAGTCGAATATTTAAATAATAATAATAATGATAATAATAATAATAATAATAATAATAATAATAATAATAATAATAATAAGGGAATAAAAATTTTTTATATATTTTCAAAGGTTATGAAAAAACTTTTCGAAAAACTGCATGGAATTCCGTTTCCGGTTTTTTTATTTTTATTACGTCATCATCATCATCGGGTCTCGTTTACAATCAATCAAAGCAACAAAACGAACAGAGAGAGAGAGAAAGACAAACCGGATATAAATAAATTATTTAAATTATTTACACCGGAAAACAACGACCGCTAACAATCGGAAAAAGTTAAAAATCCTCATAAAAAAAACAAAATTAAGACAATTTAAATAATAATAATAATAATAATAATAACAATAACAATAATAATAATAATAATAATAATAATAATAATAATAATAATAATAATAATGATAATAATAATAACGATATAAATAAATAAAAGGGAGAAAATTAGGGATTTGAAATTTTATTTACGAATCGGCCATTTTTATTTAAAGTATTAAATTTAACGATGAGAAGAAAAACGGGGAGGGGGAAAGGAAGAAACGATAGGTAGGTAGGTAATCGCAGTGGGGGGAGGGGGGAAGGAGGGAAGAAGGAAATTTTATTAACGATTCGTGTAAATAAATTTTCTTTGCGTAACAAAAGAAAAATTATTCACGTGGAAAATTCAATAAAATCTTTTAATGCCGTATTTCCGATATAAAAAAAAAAAAAACTCGCGCTCAAATTGTTATTTAGAGTTTATCTATTATTACAAATAAGGACTATCATCATCATCCTCATCATCATTATCATCATAAATATTATTATTATTATTATTATTATTAGTAACGGAAATAAATAAAATAAAATTTAAATGTTTGAACTTAACTTTTTTTTTAACGAAATCGAAATTTAATAAAGCATTCACGTACGACAATCAATCAATCAATCAATCAATTTCATTCTCACTCGATATTATTATCATTATTATTATTTCCAATCAATCAATTAATCCAAAAAAAAAAAAAAAAAAAATTAATTTTATTTCATTATTAAAAATTTTTTTTTCTCGAAAATAAATAAATAAAATATGTACGAAACAAAATACCCCTTTTTTGTTAAGTGCTTTTAACATATTAGCAAAAGATAAAAAAAAAAAACATGACGACAACAACAACAACGACAACGACTCGACAAACAAACAAACAAACAAACGAAAATTATTAATACGTAATTTTCACATATTTTTCCTTCCCCCCGTCGATAATTTTTTTTCCCCCCGATTCCATTCACAACAAAAACAAACAAAATACGCAACAAACGAGAGAAAACGATTGCGGTTAAGGATGAGAATAAAATCAGGGCCGTAACTAGTAAAAAAAAAAAATTTACGATAAACGCAAAAAATAAATAAAATAAATAAATAAAAATAAAATAATAATTTTTTTAAGAAAGAAAGTAAAAAAAAATTATTTACGATTAAAAATAAATTGAAAAATTGCTAACAAACGACCGACATATGTTTACATTTTACGACGAATATAAAAAAAAAAAACGAAAACAAACAAACAAACAAAACAAAAAATAGAAAAATACAAACAGAAAAGGACGTTGGGAATTTATTAAAAAAAAAAAAAAATTAATTAATTACTAATTTCCCCCGCCTCCCCTCCTCCCCACTCCCATAAAAAATAATTAGACATTTTTCTAAAAAACAACAACAGCGACAAAATAAATAATAATAATAATGATAAATTTTAACAACAACAACAGCAACAACAGCGAATAAAGGATTTAATAAATAAATAAACTTACTTGGATGTTTTTTAAATTAACGCGACACAATCAAAAATAAATAAAAATAAAATTTTATTATTATTATTATTATGTATATGTTTACGAAGACTTGTTGGAATTGTTTGTAATAATCGAAAAATGCCAACGACTGTAAATGAAGAACTGAACCGACGACTCACGAACGTACGAACGAACGGGCGAACGAGTCAAACATGTGGGTGATAATGATAAACAAATCAACCAAGTTCGCAAGCGCGCAAAAAAAAAAAAAAAAAAACGGGAAAGAAAATTTAAGGGAACGTTGAAAAGGTAAAGGAAGGAAGGAAGAGAGAAAGAAAGAAAGAAAATATCATCATCATCATCATCATCATCATCTTATTTTTTTCGTTTGAATAATTCCGTTTGTTTGTTTGTTTGTTTGTTTGTTATAACTTGAAAAAATTTTTTTTTCTTTATTACATATACTCAACAACAAACTTGTTAAGAATATCATTATGTTAATAATAATTTTAAATTATTCTCTCTCTCTCTCTCGTTTTCTCCAGCATCCGAATTTTTTTTTTTACTGATAACGATTCGGTGATAACGAGCGCGTCGGAACCCCCTCCTCCTCTCCCCCTCGGAAAAATTATCATTATTATTTTTTTTTTTTTTTACTTTAATGTCGAACATTAAAATTTTTAATTATTCAACAACAAAAAAGTTTAATATATAAAAAATTGTTTTGTTTGTCGCTTTCGTCGTCGTCGTCCTTGTTGTTGTTGTTGTTGTTGTTTGTAGTCACTTATCGAATGTAAAAAAAAATATATATACCCACGATACGAAAAATATTTTTAATCAAATACGAAAACAAACGGTTTGGTGGTATAAAAACCACATTTAAAAATTTTTTACTCTTTGTTTTTTTTTCATTTATAATTTATCTAATGAAACCTGAATAATGAGTCGTGGCAGCAGCAGCAGTAGCGGCAGTGGCAACAGACTTTACATTTTTATTTTTTCAACCGTTTTTTTATTATTTACACGTAAGTTAGAAAATTATTAACATTTTGTGCTATGTATTTTTTTCCTACAATTCATCATATTCGATTTTTTTTAAACGATCGATATATCGATCGATTCGATCAATCGAAAACGTTTATCATCATTATTATTATAACGGTCAAAAAGACGAAAAAAATTCTTTTTTTTTAAAATTTAAATACGATCGAATCCCGTCGTAATTTTTTAAATTATCAATTTTTTAAAAACCGGAAGTTGATTGAATTGTTTGTTTTTTCGTTTGTTGTTTCGAAATAATTTCCCCCCACTTTAATTATCATTATTATTATTTTCCACCATTTTGAAACTGAAAAATTTATTTATTTATTATTATTATTATTATTCGTCCGTGAGTTTTGTGTTTTTTTTCCCCCGCTCGTTTTAATTTATTTTTTATTGATTCTTCTGCCACGTTTTTATTACAGGTGTTGAGTCTCGTGGTGATTCGAATCATTTTGCATACATAACGGAACATCCGCATCAAGCTCAAATATCTTATTTCAGTTACATCGTTTGCGGGGGTTCAATTATCAGTAGTAAATTTGTTTTAACGGCTGCTTATTGCATATACAATTCGTATTTTCATAGGACGTATGTATCATTATCATTATCATGACGCGTCCATTCGATATAATAATAATAATAATTTTTTTCCTCTCTCCTTCCCCTCCGTTAGAGATGATCCAAAATATTATTCGGTTTTCGTCGGTTCCGACACACCGAACAGAGGTGATAAATATTTGATAAGCACTATGATAGCTCACGAGCATTACAGTACTAATAAATGGAATTGCATTGAAAACGATATCGGATTGATTAGAATAAGGGAAAGTATTATTTTTTCACCCAGCGTTCAACCTATAAAACTTGCAATGATACGACCTCCGACGGAAGAAACGGCTTGGATAACCGGATATGGAACTTACGAAACCGGAATCGTAAGTTTTTCCACTTCTTTAAATGAAAATGCGTCTGTGCGTGTGCGTTATAATAATAAAACTCGTTCGTTTGTTTTAGTTCACGCTACCATCGAAATTGAAAGCCATCCCATTGAAAATATTAAATATTTCGCAATGTAAAATGAAAAATACGAATACGTGTTATCCTCCCAGGAGTATCATATGTGCCGGATATTCCCGTAGAGAAAATACAACTTGTTTAGGTGATCCCGGAGGTCCGCTCACCGTTGATAATAAATTGGTAGGAGTTGCTAATTCCGGTGAAAATGGTTGTCCCGGTTATCATCCTGGAGATTATGCGAGCGTTTCTTATCATTGGAAGTGGATAAAAAATACGATGGAAACATACGATTAATCATTTTTATTATTTATTATATTTTTCTTCTTGTCCTCCTCCTCCTTCGAAATAAAAATTTTTCTTCTGCTCCTTCGAAATAAAATTTTTTTTCCGTTTCCTTTTCTCGTCATTTTATTATTAAAATGTTTATTGCATTTAAAAAAAAAAAAAAATTTTCCATTTGTTAATAACAATTAAATGTCGACGGTAATAAAAAACGATACAATAATAATAAACATTTAAAATAATTTTTAACGTTCGGGGGGGGGGGAATTCTGTCGTACAAATGCGTGACGACATTTTTTTTCCCCGAAAATTGATTATAACGCTGCGTGGGGGGCAAAACGTGAACTAGTTGAACGTTGGAAAATTTTCATTTTTCACCGCAACGACGACGACGACGACTTTTCATTTCCTTTATGAAAAACGTGATGGCGTATTTTCGCGTTTTATTTTCTACGGAGTTGTTAATTTTTTTTTTTTTCTATCCAGCAACCATCGAAATCCCTGGAAAACGTCGAAAAACGCTTTCCCTTCATTTAAGTTATATTCTTTTCAGTGAAACGGTAAACGCCCAAGGAAGGCGTCGCGCGTTCGTTTGTTTTTCCGTTAAATTTTCTTTTGTTTCAAAACATTTTATTTATTTATTTATTTTTTTCCCCCCGCTTCATTTTAAATAATTTTTATTTATTTTTTTTTAATTTTTAATTTTTTCATTCGTTATTATTATTATTATTATTATTTTTGAAAATTTTTATCCGCGTTCGGTATTTTGTGTCCGAGTCCGACCCTTTACGTACAAAACGTCATTTTAATGATTTTTCATTTTCACTTACGTGCGAAAAAACAAAAAAAAAAAAAAGGATTCATATCCGCCGCGTATATTATTATCGATAATACGACGACGACGACGACGACGACGACGACGTAAACGACGAACGGTGAACGTGTTTTAGGTGAAAAAGTGACGTTCGGTTTATGTGAAAAAAAACGACGGTAAAATTTTTTCTCTTTCTCTCTCTTTCTTATTTTTATATCCATATCTCACTCGTGTATTTAAAACAACGATCCCTATCCTTACTATCATCCCCCCACCACCACCACCACCACCACCGCCATCCCTATTATTATTATTATTATTATTAAAATAAAAGAAAAATAATGATGATCCTCGTGGTCGTGTAATTTTTTTGTGTGACGTAAATTACTACTACTGCGTAAAAAAAAAAAAAAAAAAAATGAAAACCTTTTCGTACACGCGACTTTTCCGACGCGACGCAAAATAAAATAAAAATTTATTCTACAAACGGAAATTAAATTAACGGATACAAATGTTAATCCACAGGGAGGTGGATCCACCGGGAGGAGGATCCACGGGGGGGTGGGTTGGGGGAATGGGAGTAAACGACAAAAACGTTAAATATTTCACCCATATTAAAACCGTAATAAAAACGTGGGAGCCTTTTCGAAATCGCGCATTATGATAATAATAATAATAATTAAGTCGACAGGTATGTCATGTTAAAATCGGGCGTGGTTAGTACTTAGATCCCTTAGGAACACCACGTGGTCGTCGACCTGAGGAACAACAGATTTTGTTATCACTAAAGTCCAGATCAGTAGTGAAAGAATTTACTATACAAAAAGCATTTATTCCTAAGGGATAACTGTTCAAACCTGGAATATATATTCCGACGTGACGAAATCACGTGATTACGAATGGAGAAACGTAATAATAATAATAATAATAATAATAATAATTCGCGAAAAACAAATTTCCTATTTTCCCTAAACCTAAACAAATTAATCCATAATAAACCTTAATCAATTTTTTTTTAAGGAAACAAATCTTCTACTGTTGTTTACGTTAAAATGTAAAATAAAAGCAACAAGACGAATAATCGTTAAAAGTGTCTGTTTGTTAATTATGTGAAAATGAAAACTTATTCGTAATAATATAAATAATTACTCGTAAGTGTCTTTTTATAAGTGGCTTCAACAACAGGGGGAGGAAACCCAAACAAAAACAAACCTGTTTGTTTATAATAGTACAAACACAAAAACAAACAAAAACCTCAAGGGGGACAACAAATAACAATACCTCACGGTAATTATTAATTATTATTATTATTATTTTAAATTTAAATAACCGAATGATTTTTTTTGTTAATAGTTAATGACACGTCAAATTTTACCAACATTAAAAAAAAAAAAAATTTTTTTAATATACGTTAAAAATATTACGTAACGTTTAAAAAGTCGTTAAAAAAATTTTTTTTTGCTTTTTTTTCCGCGAGGATTTAAAATAAAATTCACGCGTTTTGTTTTCTCCCCCCCCCCCCCGACAGCCATTTTCCAACAGCAGTCGAAAAAAAAATAAATAAATAATTTACGATAGAATACCCAAAAAAAAAAAAAAAAAAATCAGCACGAACGTGCTCCCGTTTGTTTGTTTGTTTTTTTTTGGGCGTGTCAGGATTGTTTCGAATTTTTTTTTTTTTGTGATTTTCGTCACGACAAAAATTGCCTTTTTTATTTAAAAAACCCGTCCGTTCGTCAGTGCCGTAAAAAGGAAATAACTCATTAAAATATTCGATTAAAAAAAAATTTCCTTACAATTCATCTCACTGACAGATTTTTAATCCCTTTGGTAATCTTTGAAAATTTTTCTTTAAAAAAAAAAAAAATCTTTAGCGAAATTTTGAAACTTTATATAAAATATTCAACGCGAGTAAAGAACCTTATCCTTTTTTCTTCCTGGAGAAAAAATTTCTCCAAAAAAAAGAAAAAAAAATTTTTTTTTTTTTTTTTGGAAAAAGAATAATAAAAACGAGAAAATTCTTTCTTTTGTTTCCCCTTCCTTCCCCCTCCATGATTTTTCTCATTTTAATTTTTATTAATCCTCTCACGCCTTCCTCTCCATTCTCCCCTCCCCTCCACCCCTCCCCTCTCCCGAAAAAGAACATAATAATAATTATTTACTAATTACCGTCCTCGAACAACGCAAACAAACGAAAATTTTAATTAATTTTTACATTAAAATTCACTTACCCCAAAAAAAATAATTTTCTTTTTTTTGTCGTGTCATTTGATTTTATTATATTCTAAATCCACGTATCGTTATTTATCCATCCATCCATCCATTCATTCATCCGAATTTTTTCTGAAATAAAAAAAAATTAAATTAAAATTAAATGAAATTTTTTTTTTGTCCTACCAAAACGAGTAAAATCTGATGATGAAAAGGTTTCCAAAGATTCAAAATTTGGAGATCAAATGAATTTCGCGATAAAACGCCTTTTAGTAAATATACTCAAATAATGACGTCACAATTCGCGAAATATGTCATTTATCATAAATAATAAACCTTAACATTGTAATAATAATCATTAAAGTTTGATATTATTTTTCTATTACAATTTCCCTTATTAAAAACCTTTTTCTGTCTCTCTCACGAAAAGGTTTCAAGGTTATTTTCATTTCTTTAAATAAAAAAGAGGGAGGGAGAGGAATGAGATCCCCAAGGACTTTTTTTTCGAAATTATCGGTTTATCGGTTAATTATTTCAAATCTTTAGAATTTTTTTTTTTTTTTTTTTTTTAAACCAAAAAGAAAATTAATATAAAATAAAATAAATTATTTACCTCTTTTTGTCATTTTTTTTTCGACTGAAACATTTTCATTCTAATTACACGTCGTAGAGATCAAATCGTGGGATTTGATAAATTTTTTTTTTTTGCAAAACGATGAAAATTTAATTTTTCCCATCAGCTTAAAATCCACCTAAAACAAAATTTAAAAAAAATTTTTATTATCGACGAATATTATCATTTTCGTCTGCTGCCACGATGACAACAACCACATCGAAATCAAACATAATTTAACTTTTTTTAAATATAAATAATAATAATAATAATAATCGGGAATGACAAAGATTTCAAACGTTACGTCTCCATTTTTTTTTTTTTTAACGATCGTCATAAACCGTCGGAAAACAAACAAACGTAATAATAATAATAATGATGATAATAAAGAAAACAAACAGTCGTGAAATGAAATTACCGAAATAATAATAATAATAATAATAATAAGGATGATAATAATAAATAAAACAGGGTAAAAATTTATTTTCAAATTTAATATACGTTAGGATTTTGTAAAAATCCATCATTTAAAAAAAAAAAATGATTAACGATTAAATTTTAATTGTAAATTTATCCACCCCCTCACCCTTCTACCCCCGACAAAAAATCTTTTTAAAAAATTTTTTTTTTTAATTGTTGTCGGGCATTAACAAGCCGCAAACATTTAAAAAAAAAAAAAAAAAAAAAAACAAACACTTATAATATAAAAAGCCCCGAGGGATAAAAATATTTTTAAAAAAAAAAAGTTTTTTAAACTTTTCGACCTTTTTTTATTACATTTTTAAAACGAAAAAGTTTTTTTTTTTTTTTTTTTTTTTTCTGTGTTTAAATAATGGAAGAATCCAAAAATAAAAAAAAGGAAAAAAGGAAAAAAGGAAAAAAAAGGAAAAAAAAAGAGAAAATCAATAAAGTTTGTTTCGTTTAAAAATTGTTAATTGACCGATGAACAGACACGAACAAACAAACGAAAATTTTTTTTTTTTTTTTTTTTTACGTATATTTAAAAAAATGTCATTTTTTTGTTTTTCGAAACTACAACAACAAACAAAAATAAAAATTGACAAGGTAAATCCACAAGTGAATCTTTTTACACGACAACAACAACAACAACAACAGATTCCAGGAAAAATTATTATTATTATTGTTTAACGTTGAATATTAAAAAAAAAAAATAATACCGGGGAAAAATGTCAGTCGCGTCGTATATCGATAATAATCGATCAATATCGATCGATAACGATACGGATAATTATTATTATTATTATTATTATACGTACGACAAACGAGAAAATGAAACAAACAAAAAAAAAAAAAATTTGCGATAAAAATAATTTTCCTTTTTTCCTTTTTGTTTTTTTTTTTTTATCGATAACG